TGGGTAGTGTGGCTCAAGCATTTGCCAGTGAGGCATCTTGCGAGGTTTTCTTGCTGCGGGGTCAATTCTGCAAAGCTTACAAAGGTTACTTAACAAACTGTTGATTAATCCCCTTAAATGCATATTCAAGTAAGAGGCAGCATCTAAACTAAAACCTCTTAGAGCAGACATATTAATTGTGATCTAGTTTGACAGAACCTTAATCATTATTTGGATCTGTAATAAGAGATCATTTAACAATAAATTGATAATTATAATAATCATCTTCTTAATAATAGTTTTCTTACTTGGATTAGGAACAATATTAACCTCATTACCATTCTTCTATTTGTCATTAGTGTAACAACAGCTAAATAAAATCCATTTAAAGAGATCTGTGTTACTGAAATAGCATGCATTTTTAGACTATATTATGGGTGCTGAAGTACAAAAATTCAATTTACCGAACTATAAGGCAAAAGTTATTGTTGCAGAAGAAACATGCCTCAGTTTATGCCGTGCCTTGCTTTCCATTTAAATAAACAAAGCTGAAGAGTTGCAAGCTTTTCTTAGCAGTGGGATGTGGGGGGTGAAACAAGCTTCCTCTTGCACGGGGACAGCTGAGGTAAGCTCACAGCCTGCAGTTGCCATAACCTTCTCCAGGACTCCAGGCTCCAGGTCCAAAAGCAAGCGCTTACAGCCTCTTGAGTTTAAGTTAACTCACATTGTACCATTGCTCCAATGCCTTATGGCACTCCTTTGGGGATACAGGAGTTGCTCTTCTCTCTTTCGTTTCTGTCAGCCTTTATCTCACCCTGTCTTCCTTCACCTCAGCTTTGTCTAGTCTCAAGATGCAAGGACTCTGGTGAACCAGATTCGCTCTGTAGGTGTCTTCTCTATACCTCTCCAACAGGAAAAGATGAAAACACCTTCTCCACAGCCTTCCTTGGCATGGAGGGTCCTGAAGCTTGAACTAAGGACAAGGAAAGGGAGGCTTTCCCTCTTTACCTAAGGTTTTTTTCTGACTCATCAGTTACAGAAGGCACTTCACTGTACTGGGCAGAAGATTCCTAGCATCAAGGTGCCAGAGGACTGCTGACCACCTTATATTTACATTTTCCCCCTTACCTTTACAAGACAGTCAAGAGAAATTTAAAAAGAAATTAGCCTCCCATTTACATTTGTGTTTCTTTATACCTAACTCAGTGTTCTCAAAATGAAAGAACTACAGCAGCCTGAAAGCAGTTCAAAATCACTTCTTAAAGATAACACATACATTTATTGTGAACCAGGGAGTATCCATCAATTACTCATTTACATCACACCCTGTACGTCTAGAGTATTCAGGCAGGCAGCCTGGAAAATGCCATTATTTAAACGTAAAGCAAAATGAGGCTTGCCTAATCAACCACCATGCAATTGCAATCTTGTAAGGGGATCCACATTTGCAAAACAGAGTCCGAGATCATGTTATCTTCTTTACTCTTGAAAGGAACCTACTATAGCCTGACAGCTTTAACGATAAATGGCACATACAGAAAGCCCTTCCACAGCCTGCTGCCAGCAGCTGAACCTGCCTTGCAACGATAGCGCTGAGCACCACAGCAAACAGTCACAGCATGATCGGAGTGCCAGCTGAACAGCTCTGCCTGGTGTTTCAACAGCTGTTGAGAAAAGTTGGGTTCGCGTGCTACAGACTGTACTGCCACAGGAGCTTCAGCTGGGATAGAAGGAGAGATAAAATGCAAGAGTACATGTGCTCTGAAAGTAGAGTCTTTGTAGAGTGAAAGAAAACGGTCAACACCAAGCAGAGAAAGGAATAACTAGAGCACTATCTAGGGCAGGAGGGAAGAAGTCAGGACTCCTCAGGTCAGATCTCTTCTTCTTATCTAAGGAAAGCTAACAAAAACACAAGGCTGTGAAAGAAATGATGAAAGCCTATTAGCATGCCAAGGAAAACAACATGTCTAAGTCTGTATAAGTCATTGGGGAAAAACAGCATCAGTAACAGATTTCCCAGACTAGGGAGATTCTATGTGCTGAAATTCCTTTCTGTACTGTTTGTGTTTCAATGGCTTCTATACAAAAAATGCATGGCAAAAAACATTTACTAAAGCGCCAGAAATTACAGACACAACTCACTCATACAAAATCCCATCATGTGTTTTTAGCTTGGTATTGCAATAGCAAATGGTGGTCCCAAACATATTAAAGATATGATGCTCTTGGGATCACATTTAAGCACACCAAAAATGCATTCCCAGGACTGGGACTCACTAAACAATTGGGATGAGAATTTTCTAAATGACAAGAGATCGGGGGAATGATGAGTGGGAGCAGCCCAGTACTGCAAAATCAGTGGGACGATAAATTATATTGTTCTGATCAATTTCTCTTATGAGTTCATACTCACCCGCACAACTACCACTTGTACAGACACATGTTCAGGTAGTCGAATGGGAGCCCGGAAATGCATTGCCAAAGCTACCAGAAGGTGAAGAATGGAAATCAGATTCTTGCCATGGATTGCTGCAGGGAACAAGGAAAATGAATCAAATAAAAGAATACTGAGGCTTTATTTTAAACAAACAGCTCTGGCAAAAAGGCAGTGAAAAATGCCTTTGGTGAACACAAAGAAAAACACATTTTTTCTTTTTATTCTTCTTTCCTAAATTAACAAGGCTACAATATAATCTTACAGGTAGCAAAGCCTAGATTCAACCCTCCCTTTAAGTTACATGCCTAACTTAGGAATCCAAACACTTCAGCTCTCTCTCTAGTCAAAGACAAGCAGGCTCACTCACTTCCCTTCCACTGTACTGGAGAATACTGGAGAATTCTGCTTTTAGCAGACTTCCAAAGTGTTAACACAAGCTTCCCTGGCCGTAAGCGATGAACCCCACTCACTACCTAGGTGAAGGGACTTCTCAAATTCCGTTCTTACTTTCAGATTATAACAGGCCATGCTTGAACAGAGGGTGCTTTCTGCTTAGCCTGTCCAAAGGGCACCCTCCAGCAGGATGCAGGATCCTTTCACTCCGGTGGCCTGAAGGATTTAGACCGCCCTCTAGTACTTGAATGACCAACACATTTCTTGTATCTGTAGGGATTCAAATTCAGGAAGCAAAAACTTTCTAATGAAAGCATATCCTTAAAGGAACAAATTACTTCAATTATCCCATAGCCATGTACCTCTGTCCTTAAACAAAGACTACTGAAGAAGGTACTAGTTACAATCCATACGCGGATGTGGTAACACCCTCTATGCAAAAAAATAAATTTTAAAAAACCCACTGCATCACAGAGAATATGATTCGACTGTTGATTATCATTCCCTCCTTGCCTGTGAAGCTGAGACAGAAAGCATAACAGAGTCCTTACAGTCAACGTTCCACTTGATTGTCCAGCCATGGGGTCGGAGTAAATCATGGACAGCTTCCAGGACTGTCTGCAACTTTTGTTTCTGACCAATTTCAGATTGCGTCACTTCTGCCACGTTCAGTTTACGGTCAGCCAATTTTTCTGCATTTGAAAAAAAGAACAACAAAAAGAACAGGCAAAATCAGATTAAGCAAGGGTCTGGTTGGGAATAATGAACACAGAGCACTGGGTAAAGCTGGACTCTGCTAGAAATTTTCCAACAGAATGATTTTCCTCAGAAAGCAAAATAGCTGCAAAGCAAACCTTTCATCAAAGTGTGTCAATTCCAATAAAACCTGTGATAGAAAACTGCTAAGGTCTGGCAGAACGTGCTCCTAAATCAGGTGTCAAAATATACGACAACTTTCATATAAGGACCAAGTTAGTAATAGTATTTATTGTACCTCCCGTTTTCTTTCACCACTGAGAACAATTTGGCACAACACAGCCTTCACAACACAAGGAATCTGCACAGGCTTAATGGACTTTTATAATTACAAGTTCATGTAGGATAAAAAAAGGGAAATACTGTGTGAACATTTACTTCAGCTTGATAAGCTTTATTTCAGGTTAGCTGAAGGTATGAATTTAAGCTAAAGCAAACTTTGCCTCCTCAAACCATCAGGAGTCATAGACCCACAGATTTGTATTGGCTCAGTGGAACTAATTTAAAGAAAGAAGTAAGTTGGTACAATCTTGTCATGTCATTATGACGTTGTCACATCATGATTGATTGCTTCAAAAAAATGAACTAGTAAGGGAAAATTTGTAAAATGCCATTACTAAAATTTGAATTCTGTTTCTGTAATATAATTATTTGTTGCCAAAGTCATAGACAAGTCATCCTTCTCTTCCGCTGCATTGTGGCTCTTGCCAAAGACACAAGAGCTGAGTTTCCCTAAAAAAAAGAAGAAAAAAGGAAAAAAAAAGAAGAAGAAAGAGAGCTGAGGAAAGTAGGGTAGAGTCCTCCAGCCACCAGAGCAATGGGAACAGTTGATCTCTTTTCTGCCTTCATCTTGGGGAAAAAATGGTCAAACTCACTCTGCTGCTGGGACTAGGAGGTCAGGACCGGTTGAACATATTCCAATTATAGATTACTATTCCAGTCTTTAAAACAAAAAACATACTTCACCAAAACTGTTTTCACAAAATGGGATGGGCTTCAACTTTGAAGATCTTTCAGAAACATTTCAGCGTTGTAAAAACCTATTATTCCAATAATGGAAATATTTCTGCTCTCAAGTTTAAGAGTATGTTTCTTCTGGACCTTTTACCTAGTTGAAGATAGATATTTCTGTTTTTAGAAAGTGACAGAAATAGAAAAGTACTTTAATAACCCAAACAGAAGAGACTTGCAGGTTATCAACTCACAAATACTTTGAACGTGTTGACTGTTTCTGTTAATCTACAGGAGGAAATTTTTATCAATATCTGAATAATATTAATAATAAAAATGTTCTTTAGCCAAGATACTCCGAGTTGTTTTTAGACTGACTACCAAAACATGCAAATATTAAATTATTCTAGCCTTTTTTAAAAAAAATTGTACTACAAGATTCATTTTTCGGTCACACGTTATGGCTCCTATCTACTCTCAGCCCAAGTTAGCTGCCAGTCAGCAATCAGAAATGTATTTCCTTTCACCCCGACACCACGTGTCCCAAGCCAATCCAGTCCCTCTGAGTGGCACTACTTGTACCTTGATAAAATTAACTAAACATGGAGCTCCACCTCAATCAGTCAGACAGCCATTTGCTAATCTCTTAATCCAAACTACTTCAAAACAAGCCCACTGACAAGCTGTTGTCTTTTTTTTTGGGGGGGGTGTGTACATATCAAGACAGATCTTCTTGAAACATCTCTCAAAAGCAAGGCAGATTACTACTACTTGAAGTTTAATGACCCTACTTCGTTAGCCTTTCCCGCAGGCACCAGAAAAGAAGACTTGCACAACAGAGAGCTGACTTAATTCTCGGGCCTCAAGCAGCAGGAGTGCCACCAACAGGCATGATATCCTTTGCCTCTTGCACCAGTGAGACAGCATGAAGATGGATAGATTCAGTAATATGCATCTTGCTGAAGAAACCAAGACACCACTGAAGAACAACACAAGATTGGGGATGAGTTGTGATAGCTTCAGGTCAGGGGAGAAGCATTTGGTCTCCAGTCAGAGGCCCCACAGGAAGAAAATGAGGAAAAACTGTTACCGGAAAGCGGCAAAATAATTCACTCTCTAAGTCTTATTTTGAAGTTTTAGAAAGCAGGCATTCTTTATTGCAGCATTGGGTGCACGGGGGATAACTCCACCTAACGTGCACACCCAAAAGACAAAACTAGCAAGTATTTATACTATGTTGATATACATATTCAGTATATTTCTGAGTAGTGCTTATCACATTCATGGATTTTCCGGGAACTCGTTAGCATATGCTAATGTCTTTCACGCATGTTTTTTGGCACCTCCGGGTGGTCTTTAGGGGTCTTCAGACTCAGTCCTGGTATCATATACACCTTATCCCTCAAGGCTGGTTTTGTTATCACCTTGTAACTTTCTTATCTTTGCACATCTGTTCTTCCAAGACTGAGCTGTTTAAAATGAGATTGTTCCAGAGCTTCTTACCTTATGACTAATTATTTTCTAAGTTACAATGGTTTCCCTTTCGTTTGGTTACATCTATTGAGCAATGGCTCTAATTGCTTGAATTGATCTTAATATTTCAATATTCACAGGTATCAAAAGCAATCCAGTTAAAGTCTCAGGCTGGAAGATGTACCAGCCCACCTTTCCTCCTGTACGATACGCTAAATCCCACTGAGCTACATATGTAGTTAGGAGGGCTACATACGTAGCTCAGAGGGCTACAAGGATGATGAGGAGACTGGAGCATCTCTCATATGAGGAAAGGCTGACAGAGCTGGGTCTGTTTAGCCTGGAGAAGACTGAGAGGGGATCTCATCAACGCTTATAAATATCTAAAAGGGCGAGTGTCAAGAAGATGAAGCCAGACTCTTTTCAGTGGTGCCCAGTGACAGGACAAGGGGCAAGGGGCACAACCTGGAACACAGGAAGTTCCATCTGAACATGAGGAAAAACTTCTTTACTGTGAGGGTGACCAAGCACTGGAACAGGCTACCCAGAGAGGTTGTGGAGTCTCCTTCTCTGGAGATATTAAAAACCCACCTGGACGTGATCCTGTGCAACCTGCTCTAGGTGATCCTGCTCGAGCAGGGGGGGTTGGAGTAGATGATCTCCAGAGGCCCCTTCCAAGCCCTACCGCTGTGTGTGATTCTGTATGTACAACTAAGCACTTTTTAAATGTCTGCAGGCCTAAGGGTTGAACCATGGCCTCCACAGGGAGAGTAAGGAAGCAGTGATACCTATGACAAATGACTACAGAGAAATGCACTACCACCAGCTGAAACAGCAGTATCTATATGTTAAGTACAACAGTACTCACAGAAATACTCCCCAGCTAAAATTAACTCTACATCCCTGCTGCCCACCATGTCTGGAGGGTTCCAGCTGCAGTCTCACCAAGCAGTGTTAAAAGTACTCTCATTTTACTTCTCAAGTTATTTCTGAGGAGTTTTAATTGCACACAAAGTTAATTGTTGCTAGCAAATTATAAAAGCTCATGCATGTTCACCAAAATGCTGTAGACCCGTTATTTAAGGGGCATATGCAGAAAATTCAGTAAGCAGCATCTGTTAGCACCAGTGGGGTTAGCAGCACGAGGTCCTCTTGCCCCACTCTGAGACATACATCCCACATCCCAACCCACTCTTGAAAACATGTCATAAGTAAACTGAGAGCAGTCTGACGATCTGTGTCTCCAAGAAACAGTGTGAATTTACAATGGCACTTGAAGCTTCAAGCCTCTTTGTTTGCTAAAAGCACCCCCATAAATCACTGCATCATCACAAGGTTTTCTCCATTGTGCTTCTTGCGTGAATGCACACATCGCAAAGATATAAGGGGTTTGCAAAATCGCAATTGCTTAACTGAGTATATCCTTTTATGAATCATTCGCACATAAGTGCATGTTATGAGTATGTGCCTGCTGCCATACATTCTCTTTTTCTCATTTTTCCCCTAAAAGTAATTCTATCAGGACCTCAAAAAAGTTCTCAACCCAAAAGCTCTCAGAAGCAAACTATACAGACAAAATTCTGGACCACATGGCATCTGCTTGGTCTGCCACTGGAAACATGAATCTTTTCACCTTTTTTCTACCACATATTTCAGCTGTCTGGACTATGCTTAGTCCATGAGACAGATACCTAGGAATTATCTGGATTTCCTCCCCTTTCAGCAGACAGCCTGAGAAGAACAGATGGAGAAGCTGACACTGCAGCTATCAGTGAAACGAACTGTATCCCTGGTGAGATGGTGAGTTACTGCACTGACTTGCTGCTGTCTGCAGCTCTGGAAGAGATTAACTTTGGGCCCCTTCCAGTCTTTGGGGCCGCCTTCTCTTTGTGAACTCACCTAGCAGCTTTTGCAGCACCTGCCCATCATAAAGGTCCTCTTCCAGCTGTTTGACAATGATTCTCTCTTCCACCAGCACATCATTAATCCAGTCAATTAGAACCTGGAAGTACAGAAAAAGGAGGCTAATGTCAAAAAACCACTGAAATATGTTCCTTCCATTCAAGGCAGTAATCAGGAATATAAAACAGAGCAAGAGAAACCATATTTATATATTTCCAAGTTACAGAGAAATACCAGGCAAAGAAATGCTTTTGTTCTATTGTTCTTAATTCAGGTCTTGCAGCATGGCAGTTTTAGTGCCCTCTATTTTTCCTCATTAAAATGTTTCCTTATTGCACCAATTCTAAAGCAAGTAGCAACTAACAGCTCTGCAACAATAACCTTTGCTAGAACCTATATTCTATGTTCTCCAGGTCCCCAAACTCACATCTTACCTGTTTTATGTGAACAGCAGATCTGTCAATAGATGACAACAGTCCCACGCTCCCACCATGATCTTTACCTTGAACAGATGTGAGTGGTGTGCCAGAAAGAAGAGCTTCAGAGGGGAAAGAATGAATGCTCCTACTAACATGAGCTAAACAGACCCACTAGCTAGATCCCTGCCATTAGCAACTGGACAAGGCATTTTGTCTTAACCTATTACAGAAAACAGAAGACTGAAATTAAAATTTTGGTCAAATGGTCCTCATAACCATTCTTCAACATATGTAATAGTCCCCATATGCTGACTACTGTAACTAAAAAAATCATTCAATCACCTGCAAAACAGGAATGATCATAAAGAACATTTAAAAAGAAAAGGAACAGAGTTTAAGTTTTCCAAATGCCAAAGATAATAATTTCCAAACACTTACAGGGAAAACACCCCTTGATTGTTTGAAGTTTGCAGTAGTGCTTTCCTGCAATTTATTATTTGGAAAATTAAATTCCTTTTGCAAAAATAACATAGTTCTGTGGGATGAAATGCAATGTTAAATCCTGCTAAATCCTTGATTCTGTAAGAGAAGACTATTGCCAGTCATAGACATGCAAAATCCGTTAACTAGAGCCACCTAAAGCAATGAGCCTCACCTAAAAATTCTGCAGTTTTTAATTTGCTTCATATAAAATTGTGGATTCTTTAAATTCACTTTCTGATTAGATCCTATACTTCTACCTCTCTTCGGCTAAGAAAGTTTTGGGGTTTAAATATACAAGAGATTGTGAAACAAAAACAAATAAACAAAATATAGACAGGCTTGCACCGGAAAACACCCACACTGGCAATCCTAGGAAACACGAGCATTTGAATATGTTGGTCACAAGGACATTTAAGTAATTCAGCCTGCCTACTGAGGTTCACTGAATCTACCAACCTCAAGTTTTGCTAGGCTTAGTGTTCACAAAGAAGTTTACTATCCACATGTGAAATACTAATGCTTCATGTACCTCTAATCTATATCTTTAGTACTTCCAAAGCATGCTGAAAATGTGCAGGGCTGAAACTCAGCTCTAAAAATAGTCTAAGTGGCAAATTTTAGCGGAGTGATGTGGCAACCAGTCAGTTCATCAATGCTCATATACATAAATCACTTTTGCCCTCTAAGCTGCCCAGAGGGATGAAAAATCTCAATAATAAAAATTACTTCTCTAAAGAGCTTTCTTTCAAAATAAAGCTTTTTTGGTAAGTGATTCACTAGTCAATATCAGCAACTTGTATCAAAAGTGGTCTTCTCTAGAGGTAAAGGAAAAGTGGACGTGACATTTGAAAACAGATGTGGATACACAAGGATGTGCTCTGCACGAGTATTATTGCCCCACTCTCCCCTGTGACCTTGCCAGAACCTTATCTATCACTTGGGCCATTCCCTCTATGAGATGGCTTCCACTGTGCGGTTACAGCTACCGCCACCATTCCAACACATGCCGCCGAGTTGTTCCACACTCTCACATCCACCTAATGCCATATGTTGGGCAGGGGGATCACAGAGTTTCTCCCTCTCCTTCCCCTGCCTCATGTTCCCCTCCTACAACACCTTCATGGCTTGCGCTGCCAATAAATTGACAACTGCACTTCTGCTTGAGCAGCCCAGCCTGCTGGCACACCGGCTACTGCTGGCACTTGGGGTCCTGGACTGAAAAGAGTATTGCAGCACAGTGCGTGGGCAGGTACAGTCATCCCCTCACTTTGGCTGTGGTCACAGGAGCAATGCTGGGAAGCCTGTCTCCTGACATATGCTCCAACATGCTCTGGAAACCATCCTGCTTCTATGTCACACAGCCTAGTATATATATATATATCACATACAGCAGAAAAAAATGTCAAGACAATTTTCTTCCTGCGTTTCAACCTCCAGCAGTTCTCAGGATGCCTTTTCAGCAGCCTCCAGATCAGGTGATCTCTCCCTGCCCAGTCCTTCTCCTCTAAATTTAAAGCTAGGGTTTTCAAAAAATCGTAACATGTCAGCTATCATCTGGCATAGGGCATCAAACCTTTGGATTTCCTTTGAAAACCCCAACCACAATTAGCTCATCAGAGATTATAGCCAGGAAAAGTTAAATGCAAGAAGATGCAGCCTAAATAAAAGAGTTAGCACAGCTCTGCTCTGCCGGTAGGGAACCATTACCACATCTGGAGAGAAAACTCCAATCATCTATTCTTGTCTCTTTCCATCTTTTTCAGGGGATAGAAGGGCATTTATGGTAAAGGGCTAGAGAGAGACATTAGACAAGTTAGGAAAGGATTACCACAGCTGGAAGACAATGAGAAGAGAGATACCATCTTTCACCTCAAAAACCGTTTACTAGTGACACAGAAAAGTGACTCCTAAATAACAAGATATTTTCTTGTCATAGATCATCTAGAAAGAGATTTTCTATGCCTGTCAATAAGGCGACTGCCCAATTCCAAAGTGATACAATTCCGACACACACAGACACCAAGAGAAAAACAACTGAAGAAATCGAAGTCATGGAAGATTTAGGTCTTCCATGAGATTTACAGAGCAGACTTTCAAAAATTATCTGAAGTTCAGCTGAAATTATCATTTGATAATTAGATCCCATTACAGTCCCTATAGGAAGAGGCCAGACTTCCAAAAGTCCTCAGAAGATTTGTTAAAGGAAGACTCAGGATGCTAAACTATTTGAAACCATTAATAAACATTTTATTTTGTCTGTCCTGTGCTGAATGGTATTGAAGTCAGAATCTTGAATATGCCAAGGAATTAAAAATAAAAGTCTGGAAGTATCTTCTAATGCAGCAGTCAACATCCCATTTCCAAGAGTGTAGGTTCACAGGAATCACAAAGTGCTTTTGGGTACAGAGTGTTATAAAAGGGAAATACTTACACTATGTGCTACTTAAATGTTTCAGAAATTTTCACTGAAACTTCTGGAAAAAAACTACATAAAAGAGATACAAATTAAACAAGGTCTAGCCATAGTTATTTGCTTATTTTAATAGTTCAGCACCTGAGTGAAAGAAAAATATCCCAAAGAACATTCTAACTTCTTTAGAATTCAGACTACAACTCCAGCTCTGCTTGAAAAAATGAATTTGCAATTTGTATTTAAGAAAAAAAAATACCCAAGTGTAGTTTTTAACCGTGCGTGAACACTGGCAAGTGTTGTAATTAAAAAAACAAACAAATCCCCAAAATCTTCTGTCCCACCTCCTGATTTCCTGATTGTGTCTTATTTAGGAGCCTGCAAATATCTTTCTCCACAGAATTTGTGAGGTTTTTTTAAACTTTTACAAGAGAAATAAAGCACCATATTGCTTATTGAAATGATGAACATGCTGAAATACTTTCTGACTCTCTGCTCACGGAAAGTCAGCTCTCCAGTTTTTTTGTAGTTGCTTCTTCATGCAAAGACAGAATCAGAAAATACTCAATAACCTGAATGTCTAAAAATTTAAACAGCTTGATACAGGCACAGAATACTTGGTGGGAAGCAGACAGAAGGTGCAGACAGAAAGCTTTTCCTGTGTATGAAAATACGCTTAACTTTGATCTGTCTGGTCTCACACTCCCCTACCCATTCCTTCATTTCTGTGCCTGCAGTTCAATATTGCCTTTTAAGCTTGGGCTACATTTGCTGCATTAAATAACAGGTGTAAGAGAAACATTGCAGGACTGAGGAAGTGCTTTATTGCAAAGCCTGTTGTCCCAGGGTCAACCATGCCTCTCCTTACATCCAACAGCTGGTGAAGCAACAGCAAGATCCCACGTGTAGCTAAGAATCTTCAGTGCAGCTGAGACTCATCTCTCATCTTCTTGTTCAGTACTTGTAGACTCACAAAACAGCACGCAGGCACATGGAAATGTTTGTTAGGTCACTTAACTTGTCATACCTTCATAAAAAGCTGCTTTTCTATAGTCTTCTACAGTATTTGGGATTAGCAGTGTGATTTTTAAACTTTAATACAATACCCCTATATCCTCAAAACCATGCCTGCCCTTTCATGCATATCCATACTCATACAAAACATCTCTGAACTGCATCAAATGCTCAGACACATGCGTTTGTAGTTGTAAAACTTCCAGCAGTGCTTTAAATTCTGACACATTCGTTCATCATATCATTTTTAGGACAAACGCATATGTCTGGTTAAATGAGCCATGCTGCATTACTAAACACTGGGCTGACAACTAAAATTCGCCATGAGGCAGACAGCTGAAACAAAAGAGTGCTAGAAATCTAGAAGGAAAAAATGAATCTGCCTGGCCAATTTGGCTTTTTAGTTCATGCAAGGTGGGTTTTTACATCAAACTTAACCAGCTGGGTGAAGTATTTTTGTTCTGCAGGCTGGCTGCTCCCACAGCGGTAAGGCACATTCAGCGTCAAAGTGCAGAGTTCAAGGGCATAGGACCCCACAGTCACCGCTATACAGTAATGAACAAAATGAAAAATAAGACAAAATACATGAACAGATCTGGCACAATGGGAAAACAGGAAGCCCAGTCACCAAAAACAGCAAAGAAAGAAAACCCTGATTTCAATGACCCTTTTCCCCTCAATTTCTGGGAGAATTAGGAAGCTGAGATCAAAGGCACAAAAGCTTAACTGGCTTCAGGGTCGAGCATGGAAATTAATATTAAAAATTCATATTCAGGCCTGGGAACTATTGACTAAGCACAAAGCACTGGCCACCTGCAAACAAAGAGAAGGCTTCTTGTTTTCAGGAGCATTTAGGAAGCATGGTTTCATCTGGTCACACGTGAAACCTTATGAAAAGGACAGTGGCTTCATTTGGATTTTCTCCTCACCACGGTGAATTTTAAAAAGCTATAAAATTAAACATGGAAAAAGATTATAATTTCTAGGACAGTGAATGATTTACTACAAATGAGAATGTTTACTCATTTCAGGCAGTATCTAGAGCAGCAGTGTTTGGATCTGTACAAAGTTTAGATGGGCTTTAAAGGCCAAAAGTTGTTGCAGTATCAGCCAATCTCACAGAAGTTTTTGCAAGGGGAGAAAGCATCCTGCAACTGTGACTTGCTGTCTTTTGTCAAGGCAAGGCACTTTCAGATGGGACCCAATTCTTGCAAGCTGTGGTTTTAAAATTTTGGATTCAACTAGTAGAAGCTCTTCTTCATACTTTTCCTACCAAACACATGAGAAAATCGTAAGAAATCTGCCACTTATGAGAAATGTTAAAATATCTTTTCAAAGTCTCTGACTCAATTCCTACAGCCTATTAACTCTAATTATGTTTAGGATAACAACCAGCTATGAAGCTTTTGAAGCTTCAACCACATCTGAACCAGAAGGGGGGAAAAAAGATTCCTTCCACCTTTACACCCAATACACAAAGAAACACACATGAACGAGGAAAGCACACATAGATCAGCCTTTTTTTTTTAAAAAAGTATTCAAAAGAGAGCTAGAAGCAGCCCCAAACACTCTTTGCAGTTAGTGACATTGACCAACTAATGGAACTTTACATATTAATGGAAAGTGAATTTTAGATAGATTCACAATAATGTATAGTCTAGAAACCTGACTCTGAAATATAGAAGTATAAACAGTGTATTACAGGACACCTCTGTATTTGATCACAAAACAGCCCAAACTTATAATTCAAATGCTTCCTTTAAGTTAGTTGTGCACTAGTCACTTGGCAAATATTGGACAATGAGTAAAACAAGCTCACACATTTCAGACACCAGAAATAGAGTATTTTGTGAATAAATTATTTCCTGATCTGAATTTTCAGCTTTAGGTCTGTTCAGCCATGTACCAAACTGTGTTTGATGACACACAGAGCAAATGAAGCGAGGCAAAAAAGGCTGCTGGTCACAGAGGGGACTAAGTTGAACACTTCATATTGACAAACTGTGACCAACTGATCTGAATTTTCAGCTTTAGGTCTGTTCAGCCATGTACCAAACTGTGTTTGATGACACACAGAGCAAATGAAGCGAGGCAAAAAAGGCTGCTGGTCACAGAGGGGACTAAGTTGAACACTTCATATTGACAAACTGTGACCAACTATTTTTAGAATACCGTCAATGACGATAACTGGCGTGGTTTTGCCCCAGCTGGCAGCTAAGCCCCAT